GAGAAGGCCGCCAGGCCCGAAACATCTTCCAAAGCCGCCAGATCACAGAAGTCCTCGTCTTACCCCCACCCGAATTTATCCTCGTCCTGCTTTCGTCTTAGAAAGGGGGGAGGGGGAACTGTCCTTGGGTCGGCGGCGGGTGATGTGGGGCGAGGGTTAGCAGGGAGGGGCGGGGTGGAGGCCTGCAAGGGAGCGGGGTTCTCTCCTTCCCTCTGTCCCTTGCGCCGCCCTTCCTCCGTCCTCCCTCGCTCCCTCCACTCGCCGCTTCCCTCGTCCATAGTGGTGCAGTCCGATGCCTGGAGGCTTGAGGATTTTTGTTCGTTGTTTCCATGTGCCGCGTCTGAGTGCCCATTTCGGGGCCCAGGGGCCTTCAAAAACATGTATCAGGGATGGAAAATGCATTGCCCAGGATGGACCTCAGCAGGCGTCCTGGGACCGATTGTGCAAGGAGTTCGGTCGGGGCGAGGACGAGGACGTCGTCTTCGGTTCGGAGGTGTGTGGACGTTTCTGGGGGTCCTCGTCGCCACGTCGGGACAGCCTTGGGCTCATGTGCGCAAGCGTTTCGATACCGGAGGTTCGAGGGTTTTTCGCGCTGCTCAATTTGCGGAGGGTCGTCTCAGGCTCCGGGGCCGTCCGAAGTCGGTATAGTGTGAGAAGCCGATCAGGATGGAGAACCTCGGGGAGGGGTCTGGGATGATGTTGAGCGGGTTATCGCCGGGGCCATTTGGACGACGCCCCAGTGCCGGTGCTCAGCAGGCGCCGATTTTGTTTTGGAGGCATCCTGTGCGTTTCCGGAGGTCCTCGTCCCCAGTAGCTGGGCGCGGTTCATTAAAGAGCTGGCAGGATGGACGGAGACCGATTTTGGGATGTTGGCACCCATTCCGCAAAACAGTTCTTCGGGGATTGATGTATTATGGACCCCTCTGCCTTGCCAAGTCGATTGTCGCATCGCCCCGTTGGGTTCTTTCTTGTGGGGGTTCGGGGCTCGCGAGAGGGTGATGCATCCGCCAATCTTGCGGGCAGGCGCCCGCGGAGCTTCGCCCCCAGGCTGCTTTCACGGTAGGATTTGTGTTGTTGCTGAAGGCCGGGGGTTGCTCAAGGTGCCCGGCCCAAGGTGCCCTCATGTTTCCGCTCAATCTTGGAGCCCTTTGGGACCCTCTGAGCTTCGTGAGGGGTGCCCTGCAGGCCGTGGGGGCCTCCTTATCCTGGGGGCACCTTGGGCCAGGGGCACTTCTCGCAACACCCGAGAAGGGGATTCTGCCCCCCCCCCCCCCGCCCCCCCCCCCCCCCGAGCGCCCCTTCCTTCGATCTCGCCTCCTGTGGACATATTCGGGCACATATTCGGGCCCCCGGGGGCCGAAATATATCCATATCCACCGCCCGCTGGGGCACCAGGACGTCGGTTCCCAGGCGGTGGATATGGATAAATCCCCGCCTCGCACAACTTCCCGACTAACTACACTTGGAGCCCTCCTCCATCTCGGCGCCTCGTAGGCGCCGCGCCCCGGGCCCGCTCCCAGATTGCCTGTGCAGGCGCGTGCGGTCTCTGCGACCTGGCCGGCGAAGCTTGCGAGGTCCGACTGCACGTGAGTTCACGCAGGCACCTGGGGCACCTCCCGTCGGGTTGCGCCGCCCAGGTGTCCTGTCCGGGCAAGAGAGCAGCCAGAGCGCGCGGAGGCCCTTTCTGGGCGCTTGTTTCTCCAGCAGACGCAGATTGCTGGTCTGAGCATGGTCTTGCTTTCGGGCGCACGCTCATCTGAGCGCGCTGTAGCCCGCACTGGGCCCCAGACCTCGTCTTCTGCGCCCTTTCTCGAGTCAGATCCCTCTGTGAGGGTACTTGTGCACGACGTGCAGCGAAGTTGCCTGCGGGCTCAGAAAAGTTGAGTCGCCAAGATCCCAGACCCCCGACGTCGTAATTTCTAATGACGCGGACCCTCATGCGGTCTGGACCCATTTCCCGGGACCCGCTGTTCGTCCCAGGTAGTTTAGTGGATGGCCCCCAGGCCCAGTATACGGCCCCTGGAGGCCGAAAGCAGGGAAAACATGCCCGCCATGCTTTATTCATGACCCGAGGGGTCTTTCACTGAATCTTTTTTGAAGTTAATCTTAAGATACATAATACTGTGAAGGCCTGACGACCGGTGTCGCCGACCTTGAAGAACGCCCCCGACAACGACGACGAAGACGACGACGAACTGAGGGCCTGCGACATGGGGCGGGAGGGGGGAGGGAGGAGGAGGAGGAGGAGGAGGAGGAGAGGAGGAGGAGGGAGGAGGAGGAGAGGAGGAGGAGGAGGAGAGGAGGAGGAGGAGGGGGGGGGAGGGGAGGAGGAGGAGTGAGCGAGTGAGTGAGTGAGTGAGTGAGTGAGTGAGTGAGTGAGTGAGTGAGTGAGATTAATCGCGAAACCAGTCGAGGATGGCACCTACGAGCGACCAGGATGAGGAGGAAAAGGAGGAGGAGTAGGAGGAGGAGGAGGAGGAGGAGGAGGATGAGGAGAAAGAGAAGAAGGAGGAGGGAGGAGGAGGAGGAAGAGGAGGACGAGGCGGAGGGAGGACGAGGAGGAGAAGGAGGAGGAGGCCTTCTTGGGACGTCTTTGGGGCCTTTTGGTGCACACTTATCCGTATTGGGGCTTTGTGAGCACCGGGATCCCGCGGGGGATGGTATTCTGACCCAGGATACCCTTGGACCCCCCCCCTGGGACCCCCCCACCCCCTCCCGACCCCTCCTCGCCCTTCGAGCTGGCTCGTTTGAGGAGGAGGGCCCCGTAAAGGGGGGGGGAGCGGCGACGGGCCAGGACAAGGACGACGACGACGCCGACGACGACGTTGGCGACGACGAGTCAAACAGAAAAGCGTCTCCCACACGCCGATCGTGTCGGCAGATTTTGTTCGACATTTTGTAGAGGCTATTAAAGGTTGCTAAAGGCCGCTAAAGGCCACTGAGGGCTGTTAAAAGGTGGCTGAAGGCCACTATCAGCCGCTACTGATGCACTAGAGGCCGCTGAAGGCTACTAAGAGCTACTAAACCGAGGCGGTAGATGTCAGCACGAGCTTCCAACGACTCTCCTGACACGTTCTGTCCGCCCCACAAGGCGCACGCGGGGGCGCGCCGCGCGGCGGGCGCCGCGGGAGTTGCCCTCTCGCTGGCGGCGGGCGCCTTGCTGTGGCGCCAGCAGCAGGTGATGCCTTCGGAGGCCGAGCGGCAGGGCGTGGTGGACCGGCTGGCGCGGGCGATGCTCGCGGGGCGCGCGGCCTGGCAGGCCAGGGCCCACTGAGTTGCGGGCAGGACTCCTGTCCACATCCACTGCAGCCTGGAGTGGCGGGCTCCCTCCCCGAGAAGCCCGCGACGCACTCGAGATGGATAGAGATCTGGCCCCTGGAGTCCAGGGTCTCGATCTCTCTGTCCATATCCAGTGCCCCTCGGCCTTGCGGAGCCCCTCCCGAGAGAGTCAAGGACGCACTGGATACGGATATTCGTATTGCCCGCATCAGGGTCCACTCAGTGAGCGACGCGTCGCGCATCGCGGGGCGCCATCCGCGAATCTAGGTGACCTACAGTGAAGACGCTGAAAGAATTATTTTTTAGGTCAAGGAGGGGCCCTGGTCTCGGTTTCGGGCCGCTCCTTGGGACCAGGCCGTGGAAATTGTTCGAAGCCGAGGCTGGCCGTGGCCAGACAAGCTCCTTCGTTCCTTGTTCTAGGTGGCGACATCCGAACTCTAATTACCTCAACCAACCATCGATTCTCCTGAGTCGATGTTCGGCGGTGGGTAGGATTCGGATTTCGCCCCGTGTTTCACGGATTACGAACCCTACCCCCGCGGGCCATCCGCCGATTTCGGGCGCGGATGAGCCGGCCTCATCGCAAGCCCATACCCCCTCGTGTCATGAACAAAATCACTGAAAGAGCTTCCGCTATTTTCGGCTTTCACCGAGCCCTGGGGCCGTCAAAAACGACTCAGGATGAAAACGCGTCCCGGGCAATGGGTCGATACCTCTGGGGGATTGACGACATGAACGAATCATGACGTCGGAGGTCTGGGAAAACGGGGTCGTCTTAGACCAGCTGTTCTCTTCACGTGGTTGACGGACTGAGATCCTGGCGTTGCATTTCTTGACAGCGGGTATTTTCGCCCGGCTTCATGCATCGGAACTCGCAGTTCGATCTGCATCGAAAATTGCGCAGAAACATGGGGCCGAGGACGCTGGTCGTGATTTTCTGCAAGGTTGCACTTTCGCTGCAGCGTCAGATCTCAAGGGAAGACTTCGCCGACATGGACGCGTGCGCTGCCCGCGTAATGTCCCGCGGAAGCGCCCTCGCTTTCACTGTAGCGCGCCGCGCTGGCGGCCCGCGTAAGCCACCGTGGAACGCCGCTGTATCATCGTGCGTGGGATCTCCTTCTTTTCACCCCTCGCGTGGATCCGATCGATTCGATTTGATTCCGGACAGCTCGATCCTATTCGAGTTCGGCGTCGTGCCAAGTCTCCAGCGAAGACACAAGAGGTTACACGTCTCGCCGCCCCTTTGGGGGCTCTTCTGGCCAGGCTGCTTACGGCGGAGCATCGAACAGGCATCGTCGACGATGGGCCCAGATGCGGAGCGGAGAGATGCAGTGCACACGGGGGGGATTCAAGACACCCTGGTCCCACCTAATTACCCTGCCGGCCTATCGAGGCCAACTGTCCAGAATGCAACTCCTGGTAGCTTGAGTTCTGTACTGGCGCTGGTACATTCGCGGTCGATAGCCACCTCAATCTGGGCTCATCCGGTTCAATCCGTCTGAATCCCGCCTCATGCGGCTTGATCCGGCTTAATCTTGGGTTCAGTTCAGCCTAATCCAGAGACGTGGCCCTTCCATCGTGCTTCATCGCCCTGACACGTTCCATCGAAGACCTCCCAGAAGTTGCCTCCTAAGATGGTACACGTGAAGTAACCAGCGCTTGCATGGGCGCTGTTGTGCATCCTGGCGCAGCCGATCCGATTCGATTCCAGTCCCGTGCCGATGCGGCCCGATCCGACGCACGGTCCGATCCGACCCGGTTTCACGATTCGATGCTGGCTGATCCTGGCAGGCAGGGCCGACGGCGTCCCTGCGGGAGAGGGTGGTCGCGAGAGCCTCCGGGGACGTGCTGGAGGTCGCCGTCGGCGCCGGCGGCAACCTCGAGTATGTCGCTGGCCTTCCGGCCGACGTCCCGCGGCCCCCGAGATCGGGGCAAGTATGGGGTTCTCGTTATTGTGGGGGCGCATCCGCCTCCGCCTTCACTCACACTCTCACTCACTCACTACTGCCTCCTCCCTCTCGTCACGCTCAGGTCACACGCAGATCACGCGAACTCAGACTGACTGACAATCAAACTCACTCATATTCAGACTTAGCCACAGTCAGAACACTCAGCTCACTCACTCACACTCACACTCAGACTCATTCTCCCGAGCGAGGCGTTCATTTTCGCACCTCAAGGGGGGCCGCCAGGGGGTATTTCACTCGCTCGTTCGCGGCCAGATTGTGGGGATGTCTCAGACGGTTGCTCGTTTCGCGGCAAAGACTTTCAGTTTTCAGAGCAGATCGTGAGGATGTCCCGAGCGAGGCCTTCTTTTTAGCACCCCATTGGGGAGCCGCCAGGGGTGTTATTTTTGCCTTTTCGCGGCCACATCGTGGGGATGTTCCCGCCGGTTTGATGGTTTCGTGGCGCATACATGCCCTTCTGCTGTCCCGAGCGAGGCGCTTGTTTCGTGGTCGGTATTCCTTCGCTTTCAAAGCAGATTCTGAGGGTGCCCCGGGCGAGGCGCTTGTTTCATGGCTGGGATTCCTTTGCTGTCAGAGCAGATTATCAGGATTTCCCGAGCGAGACGTTTTTTGTTCTCGTGGCTGGGACTTTTTTTCTTCGAGAGCACATTGAGGATGTCTCGCGCGAGGCGCTGGTTTCAGCACCCTAGGCGGCCAGATCGTTGGGATTTATCGAACGAGGCGATCGGTTTTGCACCTCCGACTCCTGTCCATTCCGAGCTCCGTTATCTTCTGGATGAGGGAGAAGGGCGGCCGTGAGGAATAAGGACGGAGGACAGAGGAGGAAGGAGGAGGACGCAGGACGAGAGATCAGGGATGAGGGAGGAAGAGCAGGGACGGGGTACGACGACGAGGAAAAGTAAGGAGAGGGAGAGGGCCTGCTCACCGCCCGTCTGTCTGTGGGGTGTCGTCGTCGCTTCTTCTCATCGTAGCCGTCGTCGTCGTCGTCGTCGCCGTCGTGGTAGTCCTCGTTCACTCGGATTCGTCCTCACATCCAGACGTTGCCGGCCAGACACTCGAAGCGGGACGTGCCAGGAAATGGGATGCTCATGTGAGAATCCTTGCGTCGAATATTTTGCACCAGGCGTTCTCTCCCGACGTCGGGATCTGGTGCCATAGCAGATTGATCCGGCTCGAAACATGCCGCAGGAAGACTGCGTCTGGTCGGCTGTTTGTTCCATCGTTTCGCCTATCGGCGCCAGCCCCTGGCCCCTCCCTCCACCCCTCCATAGACCAGATCCTGGCTATTTTTGGGGCTGCCGTCCGGGCTTGCGTTTCCCATGATTCAACAATTTGAAAAGGGCAAAGTCTGGGAAACGCAACCCGGGACGACTGACCCAAGAGCACACTGCGCGGGAAACGCGTTTCCCATAATTCGAATTCCGAATTATGGGAAACGCAATTTCTTTGGAAAAACCGCACTCAGTGGGCCAGAATTGCGTTTCCCATAATTGTTTAATCATGGGAAACGCAAGTGTAGCTCATTGGGTGCGTTTTTTATTATTATTATTATTATTATTATTACTATTTTAGGGAAATTGCGTTTCCCATAATTCAGAAGTCAAATTCTCGGAATTCTGAATTATGGGAGACGCAATTTTCTTCAAACAGCCGTACTCAGTGAGGCACAATTGCGTTTCCCATAATTCTTACGGATGGGAAACGCAATTGTGGCTCATCGAGTGCGGCTTTTGAGGAAATTGCGTTTCCCATAACTCAGAATTCGAATTCTCTGAATTGTTCCTTAACAAACAGCACTCAATGAGCCATAATTGCGTTTCCCATAATTTTCAAGTATGGGAAACGCAAGTGTGGCTCATTGGGTGAGTTTTGTGAGGAGAATTGCGTTTCCCATAATTCAGAATTCGAATTCGCGGAATTCCGAATTATGGGACACACAACTTTCTACAACAAACAGCACTCCATGCGCCACAACTGCGTTTGCAATAATCGTTAAGGATGGGAAACGCAATTGTGGCTCAATGAGTGCGGTTTTTGAAGAAAATTGCGTTTCCCATAATTCAGACTTCGAACTCTCAGAATTGCCACAGTTGCGTTCCCCATAATTCCGAATTTTGGGGAAACATAATTGTGGCCCATTGAGTGCGGCTGTTGAGTAAAATCGCGCTTCCCATATTTCAATTCGCATTTCTCGGATGTCCGAAAGAGGCGCAACTTTCTTTAAACAACAACACTCAATGAGCCACACTTGCGTTTCCCATAGTTTTGCAAGTATGGGAAACGCAATCGTGGCTCATTGGGTACGGTTGTTTAAGGACAATTGCGTTTCCCATAATTCATTATTATCCTCGGAATTCCGAACGATAGAAAACGCAACGTTTCCCCACAAGCAGCATTTTATGAGCCACAATCGCGTTCCCCATGATTTTTAATTATGGGGAACGCAATTGTGTCTCATAGAGTGCTGTTTGTTGAGGAAGGTTGCGTTTCCCATAATTCTGAATTCTGATTCTCGGACTTCCCATGTGTGGGAATTCCAATCCTCAAAAACAGCACCCAATGAGCCACAATCGCGTGTCCCATAATTTGGAATTCCGAGAATTCGAATTCTGTTTTACGGGGGCGCAATTTTCTTGAACCGCTTCACTCAATGAGCCACTGTTGCGCTTCCCATAATTCGGAATATCATGGGACACGCAAGTGTGGCTCATTGGGTGCTGTGTTTGATGGCAATTTCGTTTCCCACAAACCACCGCACTCGATGAGCCACAAGTGCACCTCCCATACTTAAACGTTATGGGAAGCGCAATTGTGGCTCATTGAGTGCTGTTTGTTGAGGAAAGTTGCGTCTCTCATAATTCGGAATTCCGAGAAATTTGAATTCTGACGTTTGGGAACCGCGATTTTATTCAACAGCCGCACTCAATGAGCCACAATTGCGTTGACCAGCATTCGGAATAAGGGGAACCGCACGTGTGGCCCATCGGGCTCTGTTTTTCAAGGGAACTCGTGTTTCCCATACGTCTGAACTCTAAGAGCTCGATGTCTGAAGTATGGGACGCGCACTGTTCCTCGGACAACCGCGCCCCATGCGCCACAAGTGCGTTTCCCAAAATTCGGTTCGAGGAAAGTTGCGTTTCCAATGATTCTGAATTTCGGGAACTGCACTTCTGAATATTGGACACGCAATTTTCAAACGAACCACACCCTTTGAGCCACAATTGCGTTCCCCATGGTTAATAAGTATGGGGAACGCAGTTTTGGCTCATGGAGTAAGGTTTGTTGGTGAACAGTGCGTTCCCCATATTTCGGAATTCCGAGAAGACAAATTCTGAAGTATGGGAATCGCAATATCTTTCAAACAATCGCACGCAATGAGCCACACATGCGTTTCCCGTAATTCAACAGTATGGAAAACGCAAGTGTGGCCCATTGGGTGCGGCTTTTCCAGGGCATTTGCGTTTCCCATAAAGCGGACGTCCGATAATTCTAATCCTGAGTTATGAGGGACACAATTTTCCACAACCCAGCCGCACCCAATGAGCCATACTTCTGTTTAACATACTTCAAATTGAAAGTGTGGCTCATCGAGTGTTGTTGTTTGATGAAAAAAGCGTTGTTCCCATATGTCGGAATTCCGAGAATTTGCATTCTGAAGTATGGGAGATGCAATTGTCTTGAAAACACTGCACTCAATGCGCCACGATTGCCTTCCCCATAGTTCGGAATTATTGGAACCGCTATTGTGGCTCATTGGCTGGTGTTGTTGAATGAAATCGTGTTTCCAATAATTCGAAGTTCCGAGATTTCGAATTCTGAATTATGGGAAACGCAATTTTCCTCAACAGACCGCACTCGATGAGCCACAATTGCGTTTCTCATAATTCAGAATTATGGGACACGCAATTGTGGCCCAGCGGGTGTTATTCTTATCGGGAAATGTTGTTTGTTCCCCGATGCAAGGGCCCCCGCGACCCTGGATCGAGAGCTACATGAACGTGGCCCTACATGGCCCCCACACCGCCACCGCGGGCCCAAGAGATGTACAGAAGGTGTGCGTTCCTCTCCCCCCCGCACCCCCCCGTCCGGGAAAATTTGAACGATGGGGCCAATAGTCTTGGGTGTGTTCCTGGTTGCTGGGTGATTTTACTTGACTTGCCCTTCCCTCCCTTCCCCCATCGCCCATCCGTCCCTTCCGTCGCCCAGTACGGCATGCTGACAGAGTGGCATCGCGCCACAGCCTTCTGGAACGTTTCAAGCGCGATCCAACAAGCCTTGGAACGGCGGTGGCGCCCGATCCAGCCGCTGGCTCCCAGGGATTCCTGACTTGTCTCGCTTCGATCTGCCGTCGTCTTGGGAAGGGAAAACCGATCAGGATGTAAGCAGGTTGCATTCATCATCGGTGCTGGTACATCCGTGGTCGAAAGCTGGCCCCATCCGTCATAATGCCATCTAATCTGGCTGTACCATGCTTCCTGCTCCAATCCCAGGCCAATGCTGCTCAATAACCCTCAATCGGGCCTGGTAGCCTCTCGTCGATCTTACGACGTCCCAGGAGTTGCCCCCTCAGAGAGAGAGAGAGAGAGAGAGATGAGGGGAGGAAGGAGGCGGGGTAGAGGTATGGAGTCGAAGAATACACAATTTTATAAACATATTCTTGAAGCCGCACTGCACATTGGACCCCATCCTTGGCGCGCAGAGCGCACCAGGGGCGGCGCAGGAGGCGCTGCCAGGAGGGCCCAGCGCAGAACCAAGACATCCGCGCGGACCTCCGACAGTTTATGTGAATTTCGATGGTTGTTCCTCCAGGGATGAGGCAGGGCACGCCGAGAGGGTTCCCACTCTGGGGGGCACGGAGGACTACAACAGGGACAGGGTCAGGTCGCTCACCAGCGCTGGCGGGCGGAGTCGGCAGAGGGCACCTCGGATCTCCAGAGCAGGGCGGGGTGGCTGGGGGCGGCGGGGCATCAGAGCGAACAGGAGGGGGAGGAGGAGAAGGGAGGGAGGGAAGGAGGAGGAGGAGGGAGGGAGGGGAGGA